CAGGGTAGCCAGTGAAGCTCCTCAGGTTTCTTTCCTCTTGTAATCAGGGACTGCACAGACCCCTGGGCCACCACCACTCCTCTATCACTTCAGTTAACCCCCAGGCACCATGGCCATACATTCCTTGGCTGCAAACTGGCCCTAGGGCCACAGGTATCCATTCAGCCACACTCTTTTTTATTTTTTAATTTTTTTTGAGATGGAGTTTAACTCTTGTTGCCCAGGCTGGAGTGCAGTGGCGTGATCTCGGCTCACCGCAACCTCCGCTCACTGCAACCTCCGCCTCCCGGGTTCAAGCAATTCTCCTGCCTCAGCCTCCCGAGTAGCTGGGATTACAGGCACCTGCAAGCACGCCCAGCTAAGTTTTGTATTTTTAGTAGAGACGGGATTTCTCCATGTTGGTCAGGCTGGTCTCCAGCTCCCAACCTCAGGTGATCCACCCGCCTCGGCCTCCCAAAGTGCTGGGATTACAGGTGTAAGCCACCGTGCCTGGCCAAGCTCCACTCTTTTTTGCCAAAGTTTCTTCTGGTAAAACAAACCTATAAAGAGAGATTTATACTAAGGAGGCCCCCACCCAGCTCAGCCGAATGAAGAGAATGGGTGGGTGCTGAGGCTTCCTATTTGGGAAATCAGTCAGTTCTCTATCAGCAGAGCCTGGCCCTCTGGCTAACAAGTCCTTGGAGAGAGGGAGAGCAATAAGTCAGGGGCAGCTTTAGAGAACTCCAGGGAGAGGGCAGCCTCAGCCCCCTGAGCACAGGCTAAAGTGACACCACTATGACCTTGCCGCCTCCACTTCCACTGGGCAGGGACCTGCTTCCCATGTGTGGCACTGAGCCCACTGGGGAAGGGATTGAGGGGGTACTGCCTCTCCCCACAACAAGGTGGGAGGGAGAACAGGCCCAGATCTATCCTCTGCTCCGATTTCCTCCTCAGACAGGAAGAGGCGGCTCCACGCAGCAGCTGTGTGACCCTCAGCAGTTTGTCATCTGTAAAAAAGTGACAGCAACACCTGCTTCGTAGAATATGGTGCTGATTCATTGAGATGATGTCTGTGAAGCACCTAACATGCACTGGGTACTCCGCTAAGGGAAGAAGTGTCTCTTCCTCCCAGCAGCAATTCATGAATTCTCATGGAGCATCAGCCTCTCATACATCTTGTTCTGTACCATCAGTGACAACCTTCCCTAAACCCCAAATACAGTTCTCGCTACACCAGCTGCATATTCCTATCTGCAGCTCCTCCAGTCCCATTCTGGCCCTTGTTTCTGCTGTATATTTTATTATACAAAATATATATTATATTATATACTTATATAGTATTTACCACATACCCAGGACTCTTCTAAGACCTTTATGTCTGTTTCTTAAAAGCACAACCTTTTCTTTCTTTCCTTCTTTCTTTTTCTTTCTTTCTTTCCTTCTTTCTTTCTTTCTTTTTTCTTTCTTTCTTTTTCTTTCTTTTCTTTCCTTCCTTCCTTCCTTCTTTCCTTCCTTCCTTCCTTTCTCTCTCTCTCTCTCTCTCTTTGTTTCTTTTTTTTTGTGAAATAAAGTCTCACAGTCACTTGGGCTGGAGTGCAGTGGCACAATCATAGCTCACGGCCATGTGACAGTGAGCCTCAGACTCCTGAGCTCAAGCATTCCTCCTGCCTCAGCCTCCTGAGTAGTTGGGACCACAGGTGTGCGTCACCACACTGGTTAAGCCTGGCTAATTTTTTTTAAGTTTTTAGCAGAGGCAAGGTCTTGCGATGCAGCCCAGGCTGGAACCCCTTTCACTTAATCATCAAATGCCCCCAACAGTATGGTTGAGGTGCTAATTTTGCAAAGAAAAACTTGGCCACTAATCCTTATTTTTATTTCCAAATACAGTATATTTCTTCTAACCAGGGTATTTTCAAACTCTTACTCTGCAGGTTTCTGATGTAAATGCATAATCTTTCTTTAAGAACTTGCCTCGGCTCAGCCCCTTCTCATTCCAAAACTAAAGCAACTTTAAGAGCTGAAGCCAAGCTGCTGTGCCTAGCAAATCATCAGCATCGATGCCCTTCTCAGACCTTTCCAAATGAGCCAGTAGGAAGAATGTCAGTGACAAGTTGGGAACCCCAGGAGACCTGGCAGGGCCAGCCAAGGAAGAGAGAACCAGCACCTTCCAAAGAACAAACGTTTCAAGTTAAAAGGCCTGCCCAGGCCCTGGGCCAGTGCAGCATAATGCAGTGTGATTACAGGAGCAATCTAAAAATCAATACCGACTGGGCAGCCAACACAGCACCTATGGAAATAGCCAACCAATGGGTCCTCTCCTCCGAGAACCTGGCAGCCACCATCTCCTGCAGCACAAACAAGCAAACTCTCTAAACCCAAGTAGTATCCTGGGTCTGAGAAACTGAAAAGACAAACCCTCCCAGAGCTCTGGGAGGGTCTCTATAAAGTCCTAATGCACCTCTGCAAACAGAAGCTGAAACAAGAGAAATCCCCTGAAGGGCTGTCAGTCGTCATCATCATGTGGCCCCTCTTAGGTAATGATAGTGACGAGAGGGAGGCTATTGTACCTTCCTCCTCAGCCAACATCAGCCCTGCTTAACCACTAGACTTGGCTCCTACACAGCCACCTGGCCTGCCTGCAGGTAGATGAGGCAAATAAAAAGACCAGATGTGTTTAAAGATGTTGCTGTGGGGATGACAAGAATGCAGGATAAAAGGAGAGCAGTGTAGAAGCACGAATTACTAGCAGATAAGGCTCACTCCGAGGTATTTGAGACTCCACGGAGTCCTTGGCCTTCCTCTGGGAAAAATTAGGTGGTGGGGGGGCCCACAGCAAGGACTTTGCTTCTGTCTCCCTCACCAAGTCGCAGGATCCTTGAGTTGGGGCATTTTTTAAAGTACCAAGGCACATCAAGTTCCCAAGACCCTGCCCTACATTTCTTTCCCTTTTCTGTTACAGTAAGGACACTATTTTATGCTTATTTAGTGAAACTTTGCAGACAACTTTCTTCTGGATTAGGGCTACTTTCATCAGATAATCCAGGCATATACTAGGCGCCCACCAACATGTTTTACCAGGATATGAATGAGGTAGGAGGACTGATTTACTGACTAGAGAAAGAAACAGCAAAATATTACCTACCCAGAAGCAATGGGTCTGGGACATGGGGGAAGTGGGTGGTTTATCCAGGACCTGCTCAAACGGGTTCCCCTTCAAGACAAGCAGGATTCCTGAACTGCCCCACCAGGGGAAAGCCATCTACTCCTTTGATTCTTGCTCAAAGACAAACATCCTGACAGGACATCCTGGCATTTCATAACCCAAGCTAGACATGTGTGCCTTTATCCATGCTAGGGCCCGGCATCCCAAGTTCCCAACAAGCAGAGCTGCCATTGAAAGTGACAAGTCCCCACTGAGGAATGCATCCCTACTGACAGCACCCTGTCTGAGCTGTATCCATCACGCTGACCTCCCTTCCCCTTTTCTCCACCTCACAGAGTGGGAAAGGGTTTCTTTCTTTCCTTCTTCTTCTTCTTCTTCTTTTTTTTTTTTTTTTTTTTTTTTTGCTGAGCCCACAGCTGATGAGCTTCAAGGTACAACCTGACATGAACTCCCTGGTGGCAGACCTGTGTGGTTGCCATGGTGCCCTGCAGTGCCATTCAAGTCCTCGCTCCCTATGCAGACCCAGCCTGCAGCTCCTTAGCAAAAAGGCAGAATGCCAATGAGGCTGGAGGTAATGAGAAGCGGGTGTTGAAATCTCATTTCCGCCAACATATTTCCCGTCACTCCTTGACAAGCATTCTACTTTCTTCTATACTCCCCATCAACCCTAGACAGCAGAGGTTAACATGAAACCTCTAAAGTTCAGGCTGGGTGAGTGGAAAAGAATATACAAAGAACTCTGCCAATCCAATAAGGCAGAAAATAAGCCCTTGGCATATGGCACGTGCTCAATAAATACCTGTTAAATGAATGAATCAAAGAAGCTCAGCTATGGTTTAGACCTCCTGAGGGACATTTTCTGAAAAGACATGGTCAGTTTGTTACGATATTTTCTGCCTTCGAAAATGCTTTCACGTGTTATCGTATTTCATCTTTCTGAAAAGAAAAGAAGTCCTGAAAGGAAAACGCAGCCCCTGTCTCCTGACCCACCCCTTTCCCACCTTCTCTAATGGCTCAGCCCCAGCCCCACTGGGGTCACTGGACATCTGAGAGGAGGCAGAGGACTCGGGCATGCACCAAAGCCCTGTCCCTGCATCAGCTCAGAGGGGACTTGAATGATAAAATATTTATTTGGTGATAAGACCTTGTGTTCCAGATCAAATGTCCACTCTTGCCTGGATTACCTTACAGTAAAGTAGACCTAATGACAGTGTCTGCTGCCTGCTGTCCCCAAATCGCTGGAGGGTCACTCACACCAGCTTGCACAGAAGCCATTCCAGCCTCTCAGTTGGGGAAACAGACCAATCAGCGGAGATCCATGTCTTCGATAAGCCACGCACCCCACGTACCCGGCCCACACGTGCTGTTCAGGACCACCAGGCTTTAGGCCTTTCTGCTTCTCTCTCCTTCCTCAGTGATAACACCAGTGATGGCGGGGTACCTCTCCTCCTCACCCCTATCTTTCTTTGGTGCCCTATCTCTGACAGTCCCTGCATCCCTGCCCTGCATGGTGACAGCTCCCACAGAGTCCCCTTCTCAGAGCTCTAGCTCTTCCTGGTTCTGTTACTGTGATTTCCTTCCTCCTCATGCCCTATCTCCATGGGAGGTAATGGTTCCTGACTGAGGCAGCCTCTGGGTACTCAACATTCCTTAGTGGTTCTCTTAACCTTGCCCAAATCTCTCGTAATGATCTCTTTATTAAAGTCTTTTTATTTGAACCCTTATGGATAAATTCTATTTTCCTGTAAGGCGGGCCCTGACTGATATATATACTCGGAGATACCCATGTCTGCATCTAATCAGCTGAAAAGGCCAGCCATATCCTCATTCGTCAGCAGGAGCAGAGACAGCAGTGCCCGGTGCTGGTTCACTCATCTTCAACACAGAGCTTCCACATTCCAAGCAAGTCAAGCTTGCCCTTCCTTCCTCCCTCATCTCTCTAGAGGCAGTGGCCTAGCTGCACATTCTCATAAAGCAGCTCAGCGTGGGCTGCCAGCGATCTAACATCAGGATGGAAGAAAACAGAGGCCTTAGAGGTTCGGCATTTTCTGGAATCTAATGATTCTGCTGATTCTCCCGCGTTTAGCAATAGCCGTTTCAATTTCAGGATGCTTAAATCACTTCTTTGTTCTTTCTGGCATGTAACTACAGCATTACCGTGAGTCTGGGGGAATTCCTGTCTGGGGGTAGGCCTTTTTTAAGGTGTTATTTTGGTTTTTGCCTTGTTCTGAAGAAGTCAGTCCATGTACTTGGTAGAAGGTCAAGTTTGTTTGTGATTTTCTCCTGCAGCGTGTCTACAGCTGACCTCTACTTCAAATGGTGCCGCTCTGTCCCTCAGGCTCTGATGTAACTCCCTCCTCTCACTTCAGGGTATGTGTCTAAGTCTGGGATCCAAAACCTCTCCTTCTCTTTTGTATTTACCGGTCTCCAACTTCCAGGTTGCTTCCAGGTTCACCGCCAAGTCACTCAGCAGGTTACTCCAATGCTCATTCATTACCCATTTATTTACTGAAGGCCTGCCATATGCCAAGGAAAACAATAGTGACCAAAAACTTATCCCGGCTCTTTAGGACCTCAGAGTCTCGCCAGGAGGGGAAGACAAGCAAACAAGATGTTTCGGATTCTGCTGCTTCTGCAGGTAATTAAAGAGGTGAAATGGAAGGTCTTGGGAGTGGGGTCCCTGCTGGGCTCTGCCTCCTGACCATGAGCATTCTAGGCCAGAGATCAGGTTCACAGGTAGCCTATTTTCCACACCTCATAAGAAATGTGTTTCGTAAATAAGTAACCACACCTGAGTTACTATGCAAATAAGCTCAGCTCTGCCCTCTGAACAGTCAAGTTCACTTTTCCACTAACCTTTTCTCTCCTGCTTCTACCTCCTCTATCTTTAACCTGTGCCGCTCATTTCTCAGTCTGTCACTACTGAATGAGACACCCAGCCTGGAATAGAAAGGACAGTTTGAAGGGGGTCTCTATCCGGTATCTGAGCCGAGTTCCTTCTAAGGGCCAGTGTTTACAATGGCTCCGCCTCATGCCTTAAAAAAAAAAAAATTCGCTACAGAAAATACCGACACTGATAGCTAAATTCAATTAAATTAAGATTAATAAAAGGGGAGGGAGGCCAGTAGAATGAAGCCAGCAGGAAACCTCTCTTGCTGCAGTGTGCTGCTCCGTGCATTTCAAATGCAGCCCAACACAAGTCCTGATTCACCTTCACTTACCCTTCCACAGGAGCCTCCCAGACAGGCTAGGTGCAGCTGCAAGATGAGCTGCTAAGAACTTGCTGATTTCGATACAGACTGGTTTCCAAGACGTTCTGGGGTTTTAAAACTTTCACTCCCCCAAACACTTCAGGCTATGCCATAACTAATCCCACATCTTGCATTTATTTGGGAAAAGAGACTTTGGTATTCTGTGTGGGTGAGATAAGCAGCAAAGAATCTGGCATCTCTTTTGTTGCCATTTCCTGTTGTGAAAATCCTTCAAATCAAAATATTATTGAATGCTGGAGTTAGAAGGAGATCACTTGGTTCTATGGCCTCTGCCTGTTTTGGAGAACTAATGGAGGAAACAGGCCTTGACTGAGCTCCTACAAACGACTGCTTCAGCTAACGCAGGCTGCAGTCCAGCATTCTGTCGACTGCACTACTGCGCTGGGGATTCATCCACAAGGTGTTTGCAAAGGACAGAGAGGGAATTCACAGCCATGAAAGGGAGAATGGAAACTCTCCAAAGAGGAATAAATCAGCTTGACATTTAGCTTGCCATCTAGGCTGGCTGTCACAAGGCCATGAATCTGCCTGATGAGAGGTGAAAGAGAGAAATGAAGAAGATGAGAAAAGAGGGAGGGAGGAATACATTTCAGAATAAACAGAATCTGTGGCTCTGCACTCACTCCCTGTACTGGGGTGGCAAAGGGTTTGGTAGGAATGAGGGGAAGGGAAATATGTTCCTGGAGGAAAAGGCTTCTTATGTAAAGAGTGAAGGAAAGACTCAGACCCAAGAAGAAGCCAGGGAAAGCTGCTGTGGTGGACGCTGTGATGCTCCCAGATCCCCTTTCGTGAATGAAGAGTTATTCCCCCACATGGTCAAAAAGCTGCTAGAGCAAGATCCTTGGCCATCAGCACTCTTAGGGACTCCCTGGGCTGAAGGAAACTACCCTGCCCAAGTCATGCCTACTTCCAGTGGCAGCCCCTTATCCAGTGACTCATCCACAGGAGTCTAAAGGCCTGGCTCCACACACCAACTGGGGATACCTCAGAAGAGCCCTCCCAGCTTCAGTGCATTCCAAGTGGTCAGCTGAGCTCTTTGCTGGGACTGCTTCAGAGCTTAGCTTCTCCCTCTGCCCAACCCTGCTTTCTTCTCTTCCCTTCCACAGTGTGGATATGGAGAGCCCTTCCTAATGAACAGCCTGCACACAAACCTCTGTCTCAGAGTCAGCTTTTCGGGGAGCCCTACCCACAACACTGCTTGTGAAGTCAATGTGCAGAGCCCTGCTGAAGGCAGAGAGAAGATTGTCATCGGCTGAGTCTGGTCAGGTAACTCACACCGTGAAGAACAGTGCCCAAGTCCTTATTTAGAGAATTAAGTTTGGTGCCACCTCACGGTCAACCACAACATGTGTATTGGGCCATCAAAACATCAGAGCAGGGGGACTGAAAAGGTGATCCCTTCCCTTACAGGACCTGCCCTTCCTCAACCCATCAGTCAGATATAGGTACAGCCACTTCTTAAAACCTTTAAAGGCCGGGCGCGGTGGCTCAAGCCTGTAATCCCAGCACTTTGGGAGGCCGAGGCGGGTGGATCACGAGGTCAGGAGATCGAGACTATCCTGGCTAACACGGTGAAACCCCGTCTCTACTAAAAATACAAAAAACTAGCCGGGCGTGGTGGCGGGCGCCTGTAGTCTCAGCTACTCGGGAGGCTGAGGCGGGAGAATGGCAGGAACCCGGGAGGCGGAGCTTGCAGTGAGCCGAGATCACGCCACTGCACTCCAGCCTGGGAGACACAGCGAGACTCCGTCTCAAAAAAAAAAAAAAAAAAAAAAAAAACAAAAAAAAAAAACCTTTAAAGAGCGCTCCAAACCCACCCTCGGTACTGTCACCCCTATAAAGTTCATAAACCCTAACTCTCAAAAATGCCTCCCTGCAATAATTTAAAGTTTTAATTTCAATTAAATTCCTGTGTTAATTTCTTTTTGTTGTCTCAAGCAGAAGTAGAAAACATGTATAAGGTTCTCCATTCAGTAATCCTTTATGGTTAATCTTTAATATTTCTTCAAGGTTAATGATCCTATTTCCCACTAGCTTTCTGGCAAAAGGTCATGTTTTCAATCCTATCATCTCTGTAGCTTTCTGTAATAAAGCTTGGTTTGAATGTCAGTCAGTTTAATGGCTATGCCAATTTCTCACCTATTAGAGCCACCTTTATCATCCTCTGTGGCAAATGGCACAAGTGGATGCAATAACAAATCACATTCTAAAGCCACTGGGGGCACTTTGGTTCCCACTCTTCCAAGCAAGCATTTCCACAGCCTGGAGACTCTGACTGGGCTCCTAGCTGAAGACATAAAGGGATCAAGAGGTGGGAAGAAGAAAGGTTAAACCTAGGAACAGAGAAGCCAACGTGCCCCAGAGAATGGAAGAGGCGGTCTGCAGAGTTCGGAAGGCAGGCAGCTCATGCTTGAAGGTGATATGCTTCTGCCTACAAGAGAAATCTGAGCACATCAGTTACTTCTGTCTTAGCAAGAATCCCTGACATACTTAGATTTCTGAGTTGAAAGTGAGATAAGGCCTGTTTTGTTTAGTTTGTTTGTTTGTTTCCACGTACAAAGCTCAAGATGTGGCCGGGCGTAGTGGCTCAAGCCTGTAATCCCAGCACTTTGGGAGGCCAAGGCGGGCGGATCACGAGGTCGGGAGATTGAGACCATCCTGGCTAACACGGTGAAACCCCCCATCTCTACTAAAAATACAAAAGAATTAGCGGGGCCTGGTGGCGGGCGCCTGTAGTCCCAGCTACTCGGGAGTCTGAGGCAGGAGAATGGCGTGAACCCGGGAGGCGGAGCTTGCAGTGAGCTGAGATCCGGCCACTGCACTCCAGCCTGGGTGACAGAGTGAGACTCTGTCTCAAAAATAAAAAAGAAAAAAAAGCTCAAGATGTTTTCTGGGCCAGGTGCGGTAGCTCACTCCTTTAATCCCAGCACTTTGGGAGGCTGAGGTGGGTGGATCATGAGGTCAGGAGATTGAGACCATCCTGGCCAATATGGTGAAACACTGTCTCTACTAAAAATACAAAAATTAGTAGGGCGCCGTTGTGTGTGCCCCTAATTCCAGCTACTCAAGAGGCTGAGGCAGGAGAATCGCTTGAACCAGGGAGTCGGAGGTTGGGTGAACCCAGATGGCGCCACTGCACTCCAGCCTGGCGACAGAGCAAGACTCCATCTCAAAAAAAAAAAAAAAAAAAAAAAAAAGATGCCTTCTGGATCTGCAATGATAAGTAGTAATTTATGTTGGAGAAAGAAATAATGGAGGTCCAGGCCCTTTGCAATCTCTGACCCTCTTTACAGAAGACCCACCCAGTAATTATGACATTTAACTGTGGAATGGTAGAGTTTTTATACTCATGAGGAAAACTCACACTAGTGGTGCTAAACCACTGGGCATGGCCTCACACCATTTCTGATAGCCAGGGGAACTGGGGTGGGGGAGGGTGATTATTGGCATCTAGTGTCCTGTATCTACAAGGTCACAGGACAACCTCACATAACAAAGAATTATCCCGTCCAAACTATCAATAGTGCTGAGGTTGAGAAACCCTGACTTACAAATAATTCTCTGTCCTCCTAAATGTATTCAACTACTCAGGAATCTTCAGGCCTTGTTTCTCCTTCTCTAGACACTCAGCTGACCTGGGAAAATTACAAGCCGCTTGACCAACAAGCTCATTATCTTGTTTTTGATGGAGACAGAGCTGAGGAACAAAGACAACAAAGAAAACCCCAACTGTGGGGTGAAAGAAGACTTAACCTTGGCTTACAGTCTCCCTTCAAAAGCTATGTGGTATGTGGGGATCCGTGAGCTGGCAGTTCTGGTCAGAAAATAATAAAGAAGTCTCAGAATTACTTCCTAGGCTAGGGTCTGCTTCAGAGGCATACAGAGATGCCTCTTGCTTTCACCTCTGTACTAATCTCACTGCTCCACTTTGAATCAAGGCTTGAGCACTGTGCAAGCAGAATAACCAGGCACTCTCTTCAGTTAGTTTTGAAACCATCTCAATGATTTTGGGAGAACAAACTCCCCACGATCTGGCAACAAGTTGTCCGGCTTGGGTTATTTTCAAGTCTACATTTCTTAGTTTCCTGAAGAATACACTGGGCATGCCAGAAGGTTTCAAAGCTACAGTTACGGCATCAGCAACAACTCTTCAACTAGCCTGTGCTTCAACCCAAAGCAGCACAAACAGAAAAGTCAGCCAAGCCACGAGGGGCCTGGTCAAGCGTCTAACAGTGTAGGATTGCTGCATAACGAGCAGGATCCTACTACAATACAGCCTTTGAAGTGCCTTGAAAATAAATTCTATGTTTAGAAAACAAAGCCCTCTCTCCAGGCCTGGACTCACCCCACTCACCCCACCCTCATCCCTATTTCACTGAAAAGCTAAATAATAAAAAGTGCTTAGATGTTTACATATTTTCATATAGAGTAACTTTTTTCTTTAAAGGGCCATCTTCTTAAGAACACAAATCCCCCAAGAATGGTCCTCGAGCCGCTCAAGCTTTCCAACCAGAAAATATGACTGTATTGAAAAATGTGACTAGAAACAATAGGACGAGCCTCACTTCTTCCCCATAGAAACAATTCAAATCACTGAAGGTCTTGCTGGCATCTCTGCTGCCATCTACTGAGTCAAACTGGCACATATTCTAGTAAATCCTAACCAAGAAAGGTCATTGTTCTGTAAATGTTTCCATTTTAACTCTACCATGTTGTATTACAATTGTTTATGTACAACTTTACTTCTAGATTGCAAGTACCCACGAGATAGACAGGATGTCTTATTCATCTTTTAGTAGGTAATCAGGAAATGGTTGTTGGATTAAGTAATTTTGAGTGTTGCACAAGTCTTCTCAAAAAAGATCATCTCAAGAATTTTCTTAAGGACTCCTCCAAAACCCAGAAACTACCATAATTATATCAAACGGAAGAGAGCAACTCATTTATTTTTTAAGACCTTCAGAGTAGCTCCTTCTACAACTTTCTTTATTCACCCAATATCAGCCTTCACGATCTCCACCATCAGCAAATTATTGTGTCAAATAAAAATTGTTTATTATTTAGTTCTGTGGCTCATGTGGCTTAGAGTTGGTTGTCTCCTTAATGTGAAGGCTTTTGGACACTCAAAGGCAGAACTGTTCTTTTCTTCCCAGATTGAATAACCCCATTCCTCCAACTTTTCTTTCTACATCTCCATGATCTATACATGCTCAAAATTAGTAATAGTTTTTTTTCTTTTTCTTTTTTTTTTGAGACGGAGTCTTGCTCTGTCGCCCAGGCTGGAGTGCAGTGGCCGGATCTCAGCTCACTGCAAGCTCCGCCTCCCGGGTTTATGCCATTCTCCTGCCTCAGCCTCCCGAGTAGCTGGAACTACAGGCGCCCGCCACCTCGCCCGGCTAGTTTTTTGTATTTTTTAGTAGAGATGGGGTTTCACGGTGTTAGCCAGGATGGTCTCGATCTCCTGACCTCGTGATCCGCCCATCTCGGCCTCCCAAAGTGCTGGGATTACAGGCTTGAGCCACCGCGTCCAGCCCAGTAATAGTTTTCTTAATGTGAAGCCTCAAAACTAGTTTCAATATTCTATTTAGCATTTAAGCAAAGATGATTTTAACAAGTGCTTGTGGTGCCTGCTATTATCCCTATCAATGGGATACCTTGCATTAGGCAAAGCTAACATTTATCAGGCAGATAAATTAGGAATTGGCGATTCATTTAACAGAGCATTCCCAGGAAAATTTCTTCAAAATAACTATTTCAGTCCTATTTCATTTAGGAAATATTCATTTTGTGAGCAATTTTTCATGGATTACAAATCACAGAATAGGAGTAGCTGTAATCTTATTGATATCTAATTTATGTGTCACTTGGGTTTAAGATAACGCACCTTTTTCTGGTATTTGCTACTGGTGTTATGAGCTCTTCAAGACTTCTTGTTCCTTACAGAAATGGTCAGCATGAAAATCATCTCTTAGAAAATATTATCATGTTCATTTGACACCTGAAAAAGCATACCCAGAGGGTAGAGGAATCTTGGAGACTATTTATATACACAAATAGCATAAAGGAGTTTTCCCCATCTCTAAGGGACCAACCTGGGCAAAGGAATAGAAGGAATAGCCTTGGCAATTATTCTCCCTGTCCCTGCACCCTCATGAAAACAGGGAGAGTCACATTCTCTGATGCCAAGATTAAAGCTCTGATGCAAGCAGGGTCTCTGCACTGCAATCTGGAAGGCCACTGGAATCTCTCTGCCAATGTTTTTCCCATCCTTATTATTGATCCTAGTAGCAGCACGAACCTGTTTCTTGATGTTGTGTTCAGAAGCTGATCAATATTAAGTACTCACCTCAGGGAGGCTGGCCAAAAACAGCATGAAGACTTTTCAAGCTGACTTTTTAAACTGACTTTTTAAACTCTTTGGATTGGTCAGGGCCTGCAATCAAAACTCATGATCGTTAATTCATAAACGCCTAACTCTTCAAGCAATTTGGCAAAAATCTTTGACAATTCAGTCCCACTGCTGGGGGCTGCTT